TATATGGCATACTGCTTTTATTAGAATGCAGTATGCACTGATAAATAGCCAAATAAATGAAATGAATAGATTTAAAGTCCCCCTGTATTGTAGTCAACAATTTTATCCCTTTAAAACTCATCTTTGATCACCAAAATTACATATTTTAAATGTTTTTTCATTGAAAAAACAAATTTATTTATGGCAAAAAATAGTTCAAATGTATCTCTACACCCTTGCATCATTTAGTATACGCGGTTCTATGAAAATGCAAATGAGCCCCGCCTCCACTCACTCACTCAGCTCAGAGATCCACTGGTTGACAATCACACGTTGATCTGATTGGTTACAAGGGAGTTTGTGACGTCAGAAACACCGTCGATTTCAAACCGTGTTTTTGAGACTGTCTTTGGTTCACTGCAGTTTTAAGGAGAAAATACTCAGCAATGCTGTCGACTTATGAATTTACACATGGTTTGTTCTTAAAGCATATTTAAAACGCAACATAGACATATAAACAACATTTAAAAGCTTGATTTTGCCCACAGGGGGACTTTAAAGTAAATGAAGGTATCACAACATGAACAGGCACAGCATGAAGGAAGGATGGATATTAGTAGATGTCTTTTAGCAGTGTTATTAACCCCTGTGCGTCCTTAAGGAAATTTTTATCTTTTTAATTTTTTTTGTGTGATAATTTTGCCTGTTAGTGCCAACATACATTTTACAGATGTCTGTATTTTAATATTTGACCCTTATTTCCTTTCATGAATCTATTTTACTCTAGCTACAAAAAATAGTTACACTCAGGACCTTAAGGACAAAAATCTCCCCATTAAAACCGGAATTTTTAATCCCAGGGCCATTTAACTATAAAATTATGTATTCTTTAGCCGCTTTTCCACCGTCTGGCCGAATGGTTCTGAGAACCGTTCGGTAAGTAACGGTTCCTGGCCTGAAATTCTCGGCCTAGTTGGCTAACCGTACCGAACCGTGCTGGAAAAGCGGCTTTTGTTAATAGGCTTTCATTCTGTTGGCAACAGTGTTGGGTAAGTTACTCTAAAAAAGTTATTAATTACTAGCACTATCTTCAACAGTGTAATTAATTACTGTACTGATTACTCTCTCTTAAAAATATTGCGTTAGTTATTAGTAATTACCTTCTAAATCCCATATCGACCTCGACCAGTTGAACAAAACAACGATAGACAAGAAACTGCTCTTTTGATTCTTTTAAGTAAATAATATAAAATTGCATACATTTTTCTTGAACTGACCAAAGTATTTAAAGGGAGAAGGTTAGGTCGATCGTCCACTGTAACCACTCTACTTACTATAAGTAACTTTGCAACTACATGTCAACTTACTCTCATTAGAGTATTAGTAGACTTTTATGGTTTAGTAGAGTAAGTTGACATGTAGTTGCAAAGTTACTTATATAGATTGTCTAAAGTGGACTATTGAAAAACATGGACATGATTCAAAAAAGGTTAAATGCTCCTGAAAAACACTTGTACTATTAGGGGTCAAAAATAAGCACAATGAAAATAAATGGGCGATTAATTTAATCTAGTGGAAGCGTTTGGTTCTGCGCCCGGAATAAGTCTTACTGAAAGCTCATTTTTTAAGATATAAAGCTATAATTTGGAACACAGCTTGTTTAAATTTATGGCTTTGATTTTCTCCCAGTTTTAGAGTAAAATGTTGAAAAATAAATATATATTTCATGTAAAAATTGATAATAGTATTTTTGTGCATTTTTCACAACTATAAACCCAAGATTCTATATATTTTTAAGTTTTTTAAATTCTATATATTTTTAACTTGAACAAGTTTAACTTCAGCAATAATCTGCCAAGTGTCGTCTTTGAAAAGAGATCAAACTTAAGTCTGTGCTCAAGACATTCAAGATTTACCATAGTTTAAGTTGGAAGTTTAATTGTCAGGTCTATGCTCAAAAAGTGAATAAATGGATTATAACTATTGCATAAATATAATTTAGTACCATTAAGTCTGCTAAAAGTACAAAATATTAAATAATGTACCATATTTTACTTTGATAATGTAATTTAATTTCATTGAAATAAAAAAAGTCATTAATAAAAGTAAAGCACCAGAGGGATATATATATTTTTTTTAACAATAGATGGTAAATTTTGATGTGATTCTGTATGTGTATTTATATCTGTGTGCATATGAAATATGATACCAATATATCATGCAACAACATTGATATTTAACATCTTGAAAACTGGATTAGAAATGCCAAGTAATAGGATCTACATGCCGGATGATGATGGCTGGAGTCACTTCTCACTGAATTAAACATGCAATGTAATGAGTTTATGTGACAAGATATTACAGTTTGAAACGTTTGCATTTTGCATGCTGTTTCACATACGGTTAAAAGAATATGCATGATTATATACAGTTTACAAAATGCTGCATGTTCATAAATGTAGACGGTGCCCTAAAAACCAGCTACAGGATGATAGGATCTGTTAGTTTTGACGCTCTTTGTCTGGTATTCATTATCTTAACAGCTATTTTTCCACAAATGCAATCCAAATATTCGACTTGAACAAGTCTTGGACAGCAGTTAAAACAGCTCTAAAACAGTCCTGATGTTTAAAAGATGTCTAAATACGCTGCAAATGTCCCCGTGTTGATGAATGTGTCTGTTGTATCAATAACATTGCTATACAGGACCTCAGTGAGACCTGTCTCTCTCTGCACCTGAGAGCGCTGGCTTGACTCCAGATAGCAGACGCACAAGAGGAGGTCTCATTAACTCCTGATGAGAGACGGGCACCAGTGGACAAGGGCCACATTGACCTCACAAGCACAAATAAATAAAGCCCTGCTCCTGAACGGGCTCCTGTATTGAGTCCCCGAACGCTGTTAGTCTTTGAGTTGTTGTTTCAGAGATAGCCTGTGCCCTCAGACTGAAAGTAGAGTCTTGGTTTGTTCAGCTTCAAACATGGGTGTAGTTTCAGTAGATTCACTTGTTTGTTGGGCAGGTGTTTTATGTTAAACATCGACATTTATGTAACGTTTATAGCAATTTAACAGAGTATTTGGCGTGTTTTTTCTTTGCGGCAGTGCTTCTGTGATGAATAGCAACCCTTGGAGGCTGTTCAGGCTTTATTAAGTGGATGGTTGTGAATCATGTTATTGTGTGTCTGTTGGAGAAGGTGGCAGCTGGTGATTTTGGCAGCGGGATGATATTCTGTGCTCTGTTGAGAGCAGATAGTGACCCAGTGTGTCCCGAGACACGGATCTGTCCATTCTCTATAGTACATTCGGTCTGTTTTAATCTCTTAGAAACAGCAGTTAATCATTAACTGTTGGTTTGTTCATTTATCTGAAATAATAAGTTGGATTACTAACTTAATTAGTATACTATTGCTAAAAGAAAATGTCTATGAATACACAATATCTGCATCCAGACATAGAAATGTGTTTAGCAGTAGCACTAGCAATCATATTCATCTTTGTTTTTATTTTATTCTGATTTGATTACCAGTTTGTTGGAGATTAAATGGTCATTAGACTATAAAAAATATATGCGTTTTTTATTATTATTATTATTAGTCGTGTTTTAGTTATGTTTCTCACTTTGAGAATGCATGGCCGTTATGAAAATTGGCCATTTAAATATCCCTGAAATGCTGTTATATCTTTTTAAACACACAGTAGCCATGTTTCCATCCACTTGTCAATCGAATTATCTGAAGTTCGGTAAAAAACCTCATGCGAATAAAGCTGGTGAAAGTGTGTTTCCATCAAACGGCTTTAAAGCGGATAAAAACCTGTGCGTAATGACGTCACATGCTGTTTTGCGATCAAATTGGTATATCGAATTGATTTGAGACATGTTAAGGTGTTTCCATTCATTTTCTCACCGAATTGCTCAACATTCAAGCCAACATTTGCGAACAAACTTTTACTAGGTAAAATGGATCGCACCATAATAACGTTTCCATCCGCGTTTATCGCATAAGCCGTATATCGATCAAGATAAAATCCGATGAGACCGATCGTATTTCATTTGAGTCGATATTCATGAAATTCAATCGAATTTTACTGTTTACATAAGGCTTTTTTCATTCGATATCACTTAATGCGGATACAAACGTGTGGATGGAAACATAGCTTGTGATGTAATGGCGCTGTTCTTCAGAGACCCACCAAATGATGCCAGTTTATACGTAGACCCGACATTAAAGAACCAGTCACTGCTTAAGTAGAAAAATATGATTCAGAAAAAAAATCTGAATATCTTTGAAAAAATATATATTGGTAAACAGTAAACTGATCTCAAATGCTAATACTGGCCGATACCAGTATAGTCACAGATATATCATGCTTGTGTCCATTTGTATTTGTGTATTAATGGTATATTTACTAATGATCGATATCTCTGCGTTTCCCAAAATCATTGTATATCGTTGGTGCCAAGGGTATCTGTGACGGTTATTATAGTTAACTAAAACTGAAACTAAATTCATAAAAAAGTTTAGTTGTTTGAAATACAATAATCATTAAATGAAATAAAACAAAATATAAAAAACTTTTTTTCCGGCTAGTTGTCAACATTGCTAATTTAATTTGATGAACTAAAATAACACAAACTAATAATAATAACAACTATATAGATGTGTATATATAAAAAATGTTAAAATAACACTACAATCTATTTAGGCTAAGAATGCTTTTGGGAAATGCAGCCTACACCAATTAATTGGCCAATAATTTAATAATTAACTGATAACTGTGCCTACTTGATTAACCTGTTTAACAGCAGTGTTAGTTGCAAAGGTTACGAACTGCTTTGTCAATGGATATCAAACATGATTTCAAGAGTAAATATCTTGTAAAATTACTGTTCATCTACTTTTTTTTTTTAAAATGTTGTCTCATATAATATGCAAATTCAGACATCATCCACTTTGCTCAAGACATTGGTATCAACCCCAGTTGAACACTAATATTTACTTTTAATTTCCTTTCTCTTGCAGTTGTAATGTCTTGACGCAGTATTAAGCCCTTTTGAAGGATCTACAGTGAGTGCTGATGGAAACTGCGGCTCCAATATGAGTGTTCATGATGTTGGCGGGAGACGACGCTTTGAGGACTCCGAGTTCACGCTGCGCATCTACCCAGGGGTCATCGCCGAGGGCACCATCTACTGCCCCATCACCGCCCGCAAGATCACTTCAGCCGCGGAGGTCATCGAGCAGATCATTGACCGGCTGCAGCTAGATCGGACCAAATGCTACGTGCTAGCGGAAGTCAAGGAGTTCGGTGGGGAGGAATGGATCCTCAACCCCACCGACTGTCCCGTCCAGCGCATGATGCTGTGGCCTCGCATGGCTTTGGAGAACCGCTTCAGCAGCGAGGACTACCGCTTCTTGCTACGGGAGAAGAACCTCGACGGCTCAATCCACTACGGGAACTTGCAGATGTGGTTGCAGGTCACGGAAGAGCGGCGGCTCATGGTTGAGCGGGGCTTTCTGCCGCAGCCCTTGCCGAAGGACTTCGATGACCTTTGCAACCTGCCGAATCTCAACGAGAAAACCCTGTTGGACAACCTGCGCAGTCGCTTCAAACAGGAGAAGATTTACACTTATGTGGGAAGCATCCTCATAGTCATCAACCCCTTCAAGTTCCTCCCTATCTATAATCCCAAATATGTCAAGATGTACGATAATCACCAGCTGGGCAAGCTGGAGCCGCACATCTATGCGGTGGCGGACGTGGCCTATCATGCTATGCTGCAAAGTAAGCAGAATCAATGCATTGTTATTTCTGGGGAGAGTGGATCGGGAAAGACCCAAAGCACCAACTTCTTGATCCACCACCTCACGGCTCTCAGTCAGAAAGGCTTTGCTAGCGGAGTGGAGCAGATCATCCTGGGTGCCGGACCAGTGCTGGAGGTAAGAGCTGATTATATTAATTAACAATATCACAAGGTTGTTGTTGGCAGTGGTTTTTATAGGTCAAGGTTTATAGATTTGTGCTTGGAGCTGATCTTTAATAAGCCTTACATTCTGTCCTAACCAGGGTTGGAAATTAATAGAGGGACAACACAAGCCGTGTTTCCATTAGCCTTGAAATTGCGCAAAATAAAATTGAAAATACGCCCAATGGAAACATGTCAATTTCGCAAAAACTCCCAAAAAAGTTTACACGCTCGAATGAGGTGGTTTTTCAGGCAATTCGTAAGAGGAATATTTCGCAAAACTTCAGTGGAAAGTTTTTTGGCATTTATAGGGCACCTTGCGTACGTAAAAGTCTTTAAAGATGACGCTGTGTGTTTAGACAGAAGATGAGTCCGAGTTCTTTATTAAACTCATAAAAGACAAAAGTATCAAGAGAATAAACAACAAAGAAATGCCACAATTTATCAAGATCTTGAAGCAGATAAAAGGGAGAAACACCCAGAAACACTCATATCTGCCCGCTCACAAGTATAAGGGGCTTTCCTTGCCATTAATGCTTGGTTAACACGCCCACGGCTCCTTCCGTTAAAAATAATGGCTAGTGCGTTGGCTGAGATACACATAAACCTACTAACATGATTTTTGGAATGACATATCGTGAGAGGACAAAATTGCGCTTTAGTCGCATAACATCGGTCAATGGAAAGCTATCATTTCGCAATAGTTTTTAATCGACATTTAGAAAATATCGCAAAAGTGTTGCGCAGATCTGTAATGGAAACACGGCTACAGATATAAGGTCATTCTAAAAATCGCCCTAACAAAGGTGCCTGGAAATCAATTCCATGGCACAAGTATCGCCCATTAATGGAAAAAGTTGATATCTGACTATGGACCTAAACCACTGCGACATGTGTCTAGACATTTTGTTGGTTGCTTGGTTGCCATTCCAGTCATGTCACGCTTGGTATCTGTGTATTTAACACTAAATGTGTTCTGATTGGTTGTGACTTGTGAATTGTCAGTTTCAGAGTGAACAGTCTTTGAATCCTGAGGCTTGACGAGGTCTGATAGTCATCCGCTCTGTTTGAAATGCTCAACATCACACCTTCAATAGACCAAGTCATTGTGTGCAATTGTCACATATATGCTTCCAGTTTCGTGTGCTTTGTGACCTAAGATAAGCCTTTGAGTAATGATGGTTTAGAAAAGCATACGCTAGGTCATGCGATACAATGTTACGGTCCTAATGTAGCTGAAATAACGTGTTTTAAAGCTGCTCTTCTGGATTCCAGTGATGCCAGTAATTCCACTCAGCTTTTGTCACCAAGAAGCGCATGATCTTGTTTTGATAACATTATCAAAGTTACTGTGGTTAGTTCTTTTCTGTGTGTAGTTTACCGGAAGGGTATTTTGTAACTGGAGGAATGAGTTTTTTAAAGCCGTTTGCATGCATTTATTAAAGCTTGCCTACACCATAAAGGGCCATGTGAAAATCAATGCAACTTGCCCCTCGTGATCTATTGTTTTTTCAAGCTTAAATTTTTTCTATTGATCTTGTGGTTTTGTGTGGCCAGCATTTTGAGTGTGCAATAAATAAGTATATTTGAAGACTTCAGATGCAAAAGCCTCTTAAGTCCGTCTAAAGTTTTTGTTTAATATTAACATTTTGATCAGGCTCCTGTGGTTTCTACCCAAGTAACGGCATTTCTGAATAGGCTGAGGTTGGGATGATTTAGTGAGTTTGAAGTGAAAGTATTTGATTTGCGTTTACCATGTGCGGAAAGCATTCACTCAATATTATTATCTCATTTTTGACAGAGGTGGCTTTTAGAGGCTTTTGCATCGGAGGTCTTCGTTTATTATTAATTAATAATAATCACACAAAACATAAATGTCTTCTGCTAAATAATATATTTGATTATTTTGCAAGAATGAAGATATATAGCTTCATTAATGTAGGGATTTTTTGGCTACCAAAAATTTTCGGCCAAATATAACCATTTTAATTTTCGGGCCAAAATGGTTTTGGAGGGCCGAAATCATTGACCGAAACAAACGTTTAATTAGCGCTTCTCTGATGGCACGTTTTGACCGTGTTCAGCATCCATTTCGTCCACACAATGTGGATACAACAGTTAAACATGTCAGCTGTGTGGACACCAGCTCTGGATTGACTACATTATTTAGCCTACCCTTTCAATTGGTAATTATATAATTTCTCTAAAAACTTTAGTCTGTGCTGTTTTCTGTTGATACATAAAACTTAACTAAACATTTGTAGCGTGACTGCCATCCAAAAATCGCAAAAAGCTTTTAATATGGATTTTACATTTTTAAATTCAGTCAATTTATTTTATTAAGTAATTCAAGCAATAAATGTCGTTTTGGTGCTCTTTAATACGCCGTGACAGTTCACTGTAGTTCAAGCGGCAGCACGGATCATCTCATCTCTTTACTACTAGTTACAGCACATATAATAAACATGAATGAACATCAGAAGGAATGTTGAAAGCATTACAACTTACCAAAATGAATCCTGTCTCATGTAATCGCTCGATCAGTGTTTCAACCAGGGAAAGACGTCAATAATACAGCTTGTAGGCTATTCAGTGTCACTTAACGTTACATTTACCTCAGGAAAACTATTCAATGTCCATAAAAAATAACTCTAGAGAAGAGCATTTTTGCTAAATATATGAACTGTATTACAAATTCATTATATTTTTCATTATTAAATGTGAATAAATCACTCATCAAAACAAGTTATTACAGTTTATTGCCATTTAAATGTTTATATTTCACCAACAAACTGGAGAACAAACAATTCTGTTATTAAAAAGGTTGAACTAAAAACTGCCTTATGTGCAACTTAAACATTTGTACAACTCAATTTTTGCTATTTGAGTGTTGAATATTAAACAAGTTTGATTAATTTGTTATTAGTTTATTTAGTTTGGGCCCAGAATGTTCATTTCGATTCATCCCGAGTTACAATTAATGTTCCACTGAAGTTTAGTCACAAGACTGCGACTGCGTATTTTGTGTCTTTTTAGTTCTGGAACTAGCTATTTGTTCTGCTAACACATTGAAAAATTTGATCATTTTATTATATGAAATTATATCATGTCATCAATATTGATTTTTTTTTTCTTCTTCTGTGGAACGCACAAGAAATATGTTTACATATTGAGTGACTAGTGAAAAAAACACCATAACATTCTAGACAACTCGTGTTCTAGGGTATATCCCAAGACTTCTGTAGCCATATGATAGTTTTGCGTGTCATATATTACCACCAGTCCATTAAAAGAGTGATTTTCTCAGTTGATTCCTTCAGGCAGGCCTTCCTGCACTGCATATATACGCAATATCTCTCATATTGAACTCGCCTGTTTTAGCTTGTTAGTGTAGAGTGCTATGAACTAAACTGGTTGTGCCAGATTAGCGAGACGCCTACAATGTGCAGAACCTACTAGTATGGATTTTTTTCTTATTTCAATCTAATAATCCCAGTATAATCTCTGACTTTTTGACTTGCCGTCCACATGCTTACAAAAGGCTAATGTTTAAGCATATGGGTTAATGTCCAACCATCTGGCACAATTGAATGGCTCTTGTGTGTAGAGGCCGGGCTTTAATTGTTTGCAGAGTGAGATTGTGTATCTGCTCATTACTGATTAATGCGGAGCGTGTGGAGTGGCCGAGCACACAGACGTCTCTTCCACTTTACTCACATGGAGGTGACACATCTGTCACAGTTTATACACACACACACACTTTGTGCTCAAATCTCTTTAAGGCTAAGGGAGTTAGCCTAAGCCTGGTGTACAAATGTGTTGCATTAATGAGAATTTGTCCTTAGTGCTGGATTAGTTTGAGGTGTCTAACTTTTGTCCAACAAAAAACATGCGACTTAAGGAGATGTATTACTGCCCTAAAGAGGGTTAGTTCACCCAAACACGTAGTGTAACAGCGCTACGTCAGAACGTATAGGCTCACTATTGGCCAGCATCACACTCATGACTAGCGTCGGCCAATAGTGAGGCTACGTTCTGGCGTAGCGCTGCGCCGTTACACTACGTGAACTCACTCAGTAGAAGATGAAAAGTTGAATAAAGTCGTTATTTTTGTTGTTGTTTTTTTTGCACACAAAAAGTATTCTCGTCGCTTGATAAACTTAAGGTTGAGCCACTGTAGTCACTTGGACTATTTAACAATGTTTTTACTAGCTTTCTGGGCCGGCAGGTTTCAATTACATTAGAAGCCTATGGAGGAGTGAGACAGCTCTCAGATTTAATCAAAAATATCTTAATTTTTGTTCCGACGATGAACGAAAGTCTTACGGGGTCGGAACAACACGAGGGAGAGTAATTACTGACAGAATTCTTATTTTTGGGTGAACTATCCCTTTAAGCTACCAGGCTTAATTTTTCCAAAATCCTATAGATTTAAACTGAAGTAGGAGAACCTGAGCCATAGGGTAAGTGTACCCATTAAGCCCACCAAAATCTAAGTCTAGGTTTTTTTCATAGATATTGACATGGTTTATATGGAAAATTATTAGTTAAAATGCAAGATTTATCTCATTTGATAATGTATTAATTAGTTGATGTACATTTTAGAATATAAAATTAAGATAATTTAGGAATAAAGTCAGAAGTCTGGCATGGGCTTAATTGGTACTTTTGGCACCATTTAAGCCCGCGTGTGTTCCAAATAAGCCCACATCATCATTGATTCACAAAATATAAAAAATGTATTGATTTTAAAGAAGTAAAACATCAATATATTTATTCAGTGACAGGGAAGTATTAAAAAAATTCCTTTTGCTAATGTTTGATTAGAGCCCTGGGTGGGATGGGTGGGTGTTAGTGGCCGGTGGTCTGGAGCCTAAAGTCGGCTTGACTGGAGTTGTAACTGGAGTCAAACTGGACGGTTGACCGGGTGTATCTCGAAAGCCAAGCAGAGTTGGGGCTCCATACTCTGGGCTT